AAAAAAATGGTGCAGAGGCTAACATACAGGAAGCGTCACAGCTATGCCACGAAATCGAACCAGCACCGGGTCGTCAAAACTCCCGGTAAATAGCATCTTGTCAAACTTAATTTCCTTAATTTTTCTACCGAAATGTGTGATGATTTATTCGTGTTTTGATTCGATTCTTCTTTCGTTTAGTTAATGTTTTAGGAATTTTCAATTCCTCTGCCTGAATGTGCTTCTGTGTATTTTTATGTTTAGTGTTTTTGTTGGTGTTAGCTGATCGTGTGTGTTTGTTGTGTGTGTGGAATGTAAGTGGGAAGCTAGCTTGATTTCATTCTTGATTCCTTCAGTTGATATTTACCTGTTTTGCAGTTCGTCTGCTCAATGTGCTTCTGGGTTTTTGATATTAGATGTTCTTGTTTGTATTAGCTGATTGTGTGTGTGTAATGTATGTGGGAAGCTTGATTTGGTTATTGTTTTGTTCAGTTGATTTTTTGAGATTCGACATTTGTCTGCTTAATGTGCTGTGCTTCTGGGTTTTTATATGTTTAATGTTGTTGTTGCCATTAGCTGATTGTTTGTGTTTGTTGTGTGTGGAATATAGGTGGGAAGCTTGTGTATCAGACCACTAAGAAGAGGGCTAGTGGCCCCAAGTGCCCTGTGACTGGCAAGAGGATCCAAGGGGTGTGTATAATGCCTATGTTTTATGATTGCATAAAAGTGCTTTCTTTAGTGTTGCTAAATTAAGATGTGATTGTTTGCTGTGCTTTAGACTTGGATTGGTTTATTCAATTTTTCTGTTTAGGACAGGTAATGTTTGAATCACGATGTAGTGTTTGTGTTTGCTTTGTGCTTGATGTATTGAGGGTTGCTTGAAAAATCCTTCCTTGTGCATTAAAAAGTTCTACTGTCTAATAGGAATTGATTCGTATATTCTGCAAATAGCATTGTATCTGCTGTCTTCAAATTTGACTTTTTTCTTTCCAAGCCCTGAAGTAAGTTCTCACATACTATGTTTTCAAGGTTGTTTTGCCCTGGATTAATGGATTGGAGAATGTGATTGCCTAATTGACTCAACTGGTAGTGCTAATTGATGTTCTGTTTATTGGTAGTGGAGAAGTACATATGAGCATAATTTTTGTTACAAGTCGGTTAATGTACCCTCTTGGTGTATATTCTTTTTATTATTATATTGATGATTATGAATTCTAATGTTACTCATCGAAATTTATCATTTTAAATCGTTTTGGTGCTTGTGGACTGTAAAAGCTTGTGAGGGGTATGATATTTGAGAAACCAAATCAAATAGCATTCTGTTTAACAATCTCTCTGTTTTAGAGTTTTTCTTTCTGATGTTGTCCATTGGATTTTTGGTATTTTTTATTGTCTGGCAATCAAACGCTTCTTCTCATTACATTTGAAATTTTCAGATTCCTCACTTGAGACCTGCTGAGTACAAGAGATCGAGATTGCCCAGAAATCGGAGGACTGTGAATCGTCCTTATGGTGGAGTGTTGTCTGGTGTTGCTGTGAGAGAAAGGTTTGGCCTCTTCTCTCTCAATGCACTTAATGATTAACCATTAATTTAGAACATATATATTTTTTCCTTGATTATTTCTGCTCAGATTATGAAAATTCCACATTTCTTGGTTTTAAAGGATCATTAGGGCTTTCTTGGTGGAAGAACAGAAGATTGTGAAGAAGGTCTTGAAGATTCAGAAAGCCAAGGAAAAGCTTGCTGCCAAGAGCTAGAGCTCGAGTTTCATGAGAGACATAATTTTGGATACGATAATTGGAACTGTATCAAGGTTTTTGAAGCGTAATATCTGTATTTTTGTTGGGATTATTCGGAATGTGACTTGTTAATTTTTCTTCATTGTCAATCAATCATCTGATTCTAGGAATTTGGATCCTCAGCCCTCTTATGTCCTTCGGATTTAGTTTTGATTTTTCGGTGATACGGTTTAAAGTTTTTGCTTTTGTTAAAATCAGAGTCAAAATACTAATTTATTTTGATGTTCATGCACATGACTTATTATTTTTTGGGAAAAAATCAACAGATACACATTTCATTATGGGTAACATTTAGATGCAACCTTACCATAATCCCATAGCACTGACCAAGACAAGAGTTCATAACAATAATAACGATTTTTGGAAATGAAATGCACTAACATTCATCATCAGAGTCCACTCAAGTTAAAGTCCTAGGTAATGGTCTAATCTTTACTACAACAGAAGCTTACATCTTACGGGAACACGAATATCACAACATTGAATAACACCAAAAGAAAATCTAAAGCACACAAAACTTGAAAATTGTACTAAAGTTAATCATCCTACTATTCCTTCTCATCAAGTGTAGCAATTGTTAGTCGAATAACTAGACGACAAGTCACTCAGACAAGGAGACGCG